AGAGGGATAGAGAGTTAGAAACATCGATGAGAGAGAAACATTGATCAGCCACCTCCTGCACACCTCCTACTGGGGATGTGTCTGCAACCAAGGTACATGCCCTTGACCAGAATCGAACCTGGGATCCTTTAGTCCACAGTCTGATGCTGCATCCACTGAGCCAAACCAGTCAGGGCAATAATGTGCTTCTCTTAAGTTTGCAGTTGGCTGTAACTAACTGAAAAGCCAAGTAACAGTGTGCTACAGATAGTTCCCATCCTTCCATCACAGGGAGTTTGGAAGTAGGAGGTTGCTGGCGATATTCCAGTGGCTTTATGTCTTCAGAACTCTGAGTCTCCATCATTACAATTCTCTTGTCCTTTCCCTTAAGTTCTCCTGGCTACCAAAGTAAAAAAGCAGTGGAGTTGAGGAAGGGAGAAGAGAGGAGAAATAGTAACAGAGCTATCTCAGAGTTGTTTTTGTTTGTTTGTTTGTTTGTTTTTTTAAAATAACAAAACCTATTCCAGGTGCTCCTAGAATGGGTTTTTTTTTTTTTTTTTTTTGCTTACACCTTGGCCAGGACATTGCCATATGGACATTCTTAATTACTCGGGATTTTAGGAAAATAAGTATTTATCCTTTGACCTAGAGAGAAGGGAAAGGAAAGGGAGACAGGAAGTGTGTGTTGTGGAAGCAGGGCAACAATGTGTGAAATATAATAGTTATATGTATGAATTGTTGAACAATAAAGTGTTATCTTCAGAGGCTACTGAAGACTGTTAGCTACATGCATATTCACCACTCCTCTTCAGTGTGGGTTGTTTGCTGGGCACAGTAGGTCAGCTAGGGACTACATGTCTCAGATTCTTTTTACATCCACATGTAACCATTGAACTTGTTCTCACTAGTGGGATGTGAGCAGATGTGCTGTGGCATGACTTTTTCACTCTCCCTTTATATCTTCTCTATGTGCATGATGGAAGAAGCCTGGATCCCTGAGTCACCGTGTGGAGAATAATCTCCAATGGATTAGTAACAATTCTAGTTTATGACCCAGAATTAAATTTCTATTGTATTAATACAGATTACTAAAATTTAGATATTTATTTGTTATGGGCACTATCATTACTTTATCTAAAGCAATAACAAATGATGATATCACCCCAGATTTTTCATTTGTTTTTTATTTCTGTTTTTTCTTTGTTCAGTTCTTCCATTTTCTCTATAGAGATTTTTTTCTTCTCATCACACTCCCTATAATTAGCTATAACTTCTAACAGTTTCTTAATATGTTGAACAATATTCCTTATAATTCCTTGCTTCTAATTGGCTGTGTGCTAAGAAACCTGATAATTGTGATAGGACTCTGAATGTTACAATATGCTAAGCTAAACATACAAAGTTTATGATGCTATTTTGGCCTATTGTGGGGTCTCCGGTGGCCCTCTGATATAGGATAGTTGCCTAGTAAAGGACCAGGGACAAAGCAATATGGAATTATATGTTAAATTTAGAATCAAGGGAGCAGTATAATATCTTGTCAGAGTGTGTGAATATTGTAATATTTTTAATTACAGAAAAGTGACTATTTTGTTTCTCAGAGCTGGAAAGGAACTTTTGTGAGGAGACAGAGTATCAAGAGTCCTATATAAAATACCCATCCTTTTAAGCTATCTATTTACTTTATAATTATTAAAATATCTAAAATAAATATCTAGCCACTCGTCATTATGGATATGATGAAGATTCAAATTGCATAATAAATGTTTGTTTTGAAACCTAATTAAATTTCACAGACGCCAAAATGTTTCACTCTTTATTAAATTAAACATCTACTACCTCTGCTGAAAACTGGGGTTAGTCTAATTTGCAATGGCTTGATACTGGTGGCAGAAAGTAGTGAGAAACATCATAGACTTTGCAAATAAATCTTGGTCCCAATTTTGCTATGCATCATTATAGGATTTACTTAGTTTTTCTGAGCCTCAGTATCCTCATCCATAAAGTTGAGCCTAGATTAATTAAGACATGAAAAACACAATTCAAAACAGCACAGTGGTAATAATAAATTAAAATTTGCCCATGTTCTTTTTCTTCTCTAGTGTTATAGATAATTAGTAATAAACTAAATGTTCTTGGCGGACAGAATAGTCATTTACACCCTCATTTTTTATACAAATATCTGTGTGGCCAAGTATTAACCTTTATTTTTTTTTAATAAATCTAAATTAATTAAAAACAGTAGTTTATTTTAATATATTTTATTTATTTTTAAATATGTTTTTATTGGTTATGAGAGAGAGGAGGGGAGTGGGGAAAGAGAGTGATAGAAACATTGATGGGCTGCCTCCTGCATACCTCCTACTGGGGATTGGCCTCCTGCACTCCCCCTACTGTGCATTGACCCAGGCATGTGCTCTGACCCAGATGGAACCAGTGACCTCTTGGTGAAAGGTGAGGATTTAAAAAACAAATAAAACATTTGACTGATAATTCTAACATCCCTGCTTTCTTGATGTTGGCATGTGTTGGTTCCCTTTTTTCATTTGCTTGATATCAGCCTAGCAGAGATGGGGGGAGACACATGCTTACTTCTCACTGCCAGGGGCAGGCGGGTGTATAATTGGGTCAGCCTGAGCATGGGCCCTCACTTGCCCAGGATATCTTTATTTTAAACAGGAATAGTGCTTTTCTTTTTTTTTTTGTTTAACTGTGCTTTATCCCATGTGTTTATAGTGAATATGACAACATACTTAGTAATCAGAAGGATGATATAAGTTTATTTTTCTATTTTGTTTCAAACTGGAATTTTTTTTAATATATTTTATTGATTTTGTACAGAGAGGAAGGGAGAGAGCCAGAGAGCCAGAAACATCGATGAGAGAGAGTCATTGATCAGCTGCCTCTTGCACACCCCCTACTGGGGATGTGCCCGCAACCAAGGTACATGCCCTTGACCGGAATCGAACCCAGGACCCTTCAGTCCCCAAGCTGACACTCTATCCATTGAGCCAAACCGGTTTTGGCGTGATTTTTTTTCTTTCAATGCATAATCTCTCCTGCACAAGAAATCAAGATTTAACATTTTTGGTGCATGATTAAGAAAGAAAACTGTACCAAATTAAAGGAAATTACTTAAATAGAATCCATAGGAAGTCAAATCATTAACAATCTCTGCATATGATTGCAAGCCTTTTAAGAAACAGGTAATTAGCCGAAACCGATTTGGCTCAGTGGATAGAGCGGACTGAAAGGTCCTGGGTTCCATTCCGGTCAAGGGCATGTGCCTTGGTTGCGGGCACATCCCCAGTAGGGGGTGTGCAAGAGGCAGCTGATTTCTCTCATGGATGTTTCTAACTCTCTATCCCTCTCTCTTCCTCTCTGTAAAAAATCAATAAAATATATTTAAAAAGAAAGAAAGAAAGAAAAAGAAACAGGTAATTACAAAAATCTTGGTACTCCGTGCAACTATCATATGTGCTTATAATGTGTCCCCCAAAATGTATACACAGTTTAACAGCTGATAGCTTTTTGAAAACGAAATGTATTTTGATAAACACTTCCTTTGCAAGTATTCAAAGAGTGTGCATACATTGTTTTGAGGGGACACTCTATATATCATTATATATGTTTAATTTAATTCAAAACATCTGACACCTGTAGGGAGAAACTACTATGTGCTTGCCTCCCTACACAGACATTTGCACTGGGGCATGTCCTGGTCTTTACTAAGATGCAATGTTATAAAACTCTAGGTATTTACATGGAGAGGAAATAAAACATTAAGAAGAATTTTCTTTTTCCATTTCATGGAGGGCCATTTTAAGGCTCCACAAGTGCCATATAAATCCCCAAGAAAAGGTAGTAATGTATTAAACAAAGAATAACACCAACCACAAGATAACACTTAAAAAAAAGAAAAAAAAGAATCATAGAACCAGGGAGAAAATACACTTCCTGGCTTGGAAGCTCTTAAAAAGTTCTGAGTCAGGAAACCTCCCACACCAGGGCGGGAATGTCTTTGGCTCCCCAGTGACTCCCTGCTAAATTCCCCTCAAGTTCTACCCTCCTTCTCCCTTCCATTCTCCGCCTCAGCCCCAAACTTTGGAGGGGGATGCCAGCCTCTATTCCTGAGATTGCCAGATACAATCAGACTCTCTGAGGCATGTTTGTTTTAAATGCCCCTGCACCCAAGACAGGCCACATTTGCAGGCAAAGCCAAGGGATTTCCAAGGACGCCTGGAAGCTCATCTTACACACCGAGGGCCAAGCCCGTAGAGGAACAATAGCGAATGCAGCCAAGAGCACGTTCCTTTGCTCGCGGGTGGCGCGGGGGTCCCCGGGCGCGGAGGCTGGGGCCCGGAGCCAGAACCCCAAAAAGGAGCGCTGCCTCTTTAAAAGGCCGCGCATCTCGGGTCCGGCCTTCCTCCCGGGGGCTCCAGCTGTGATTGACGCTGGGCGGCGAGAGGAGGCGCCTGGCGCTAACAAAAGTCCGGCCCGCGGGCGAGCCGCGCCGGGCCGCGCGTCTCTGCTGCTGGGTCGGGGCACCCGCAACAAGTGGCCGCCGCGCCCATCCCGGGGGAAGTGGTGGGCGTGCCAGGGCGCCGGGAAGAGGCGGGCGATCCGGGGAGCCCGGCCACCCGTGCGGCTCAGCGCCCACCGCGGGGGGATCGGGGCGGGCGGATGGGGACCCGGCGGCGGCGGCGCGGCGAGCCTCTGGGCGGCCCCGGGGCGCGGGCTCTCCGCCGCGTTGCGCCCGCCGGCGGCGATCGCGGATTCTAAGAGCGGCGGCAGCTGCCCCCGGCCCCACCCGGAACCATTGGGGGTGCCAGGAGGGGACCGAGCGCCCCCTCCCATCGGAGGAGTGCAGGGGCCGCTCCCAGCCGGACCTCGGCCCCGGAGCGCGGGGTATGCGCGGCTAAGGGTCCCGGCGGACGGGCTTTCCTCCGGCGGAGCGCGCGGGCGGAGCGCCCCAGCAGCGATGGAGTGTCCCGGGAGGCGGCGGGCATGACGGCGGCAGGATGGGCGCGAACAATGGCAAACAGTACGGCAGTGAGGGTGAGTGGGCCGCCCGTCCTCGCACTCCCGGATCGCGCCCCCCTTCCTTTCTCCTCGCCCTCGGGTCGGGGAAGGAAGGTCCTCGCCCGTCCGCAGCGGTGGCGCACACCCATTGGGCACTCTGTCACCTTCCCTTTGGCACCGAGTGCTCAGGCGCCCCGAGGATGCTTTCCCACCCGGGGTGGGGGAAGAAGGGGTGTCCTTTTAAGCAACTCCCCAGGGTGTCTTTGGGACGGCTCAAGTTGCAAACGCCTTGGTGTTTCTGAATGCCTTTGCCTCAACTTTCCCACCCTGGGTGTCTGGGATTTAGGATGATGGTTTGGCAGACGGTGGAGACGTGGAGACCGTTTTTTTGCAAAGAAATAACTAAGTGAAAACTTTCTCAGGCCTTTGTCCTCCAGTCCGCTCTCCAGTAGCAGGAAAAACTCCTGAAAAAAAAAAAAAAAAGTAGTTAAGTTTCCATTCTCTACTCCCTGACCCTGGGTGACAGCTCCTTGAAAATGTCCACCTCTGGGCCCTCCCGGGAGGCGAGGAGTGGCGGGGGGCTTTGTCTGATTCTCTCCGGGCTCTAGCCGGGCAAAGGACCATCTGTTCCGTGGGCCTGGAAACTGCACAGAAATATTGCCTGTCAAGTGGGAGCTTGGAAGTTGGAGAAACTTTAAACTCCGCCTCCTCCTAAAATGATGATGGATGTGTGGGTTGGCTTCCCCCTCGCCCCTCCTCCCTCTCTTTCGCATAAAACTGGAGTGTTGTCACCCCATTGATTAACAGCATGCTCCCGATAGGCGCATGGCAGAGGCATTTTCATAGTTCAAAAAGTTAGGAAGGTTGGTCTCTCCTGAACTTGGCTAGAGGGGCGGGGAAGAACCGGGTCGGTTTTACAGCCCGCCTCCAGAGGACGGGCGGTTACAGACTCCGTCCAGAGCCTGCAGACGGTAGGAATGCAGAAAGGCTATTCAGCCTGGTTGTGTTTGGGAACCTCCTATCATCCTCCTCGAAACTTTGTGGATGTGACCCTGTTCCTTCTCAGTAGCTTTGTGAGATTACAGCAGAGGCCAATCAGAAGTACACGCCAAAACACCATCGCCACAAGAGCCTTTTGTTTCAATCATTCTCTCCCAGATCAGCATGGTTTGAATTTCACATACATGTGAAATACATATATTTCCTTATTCTGGGCAGTTATGTGAGAGATTCTTTTTGGTGACAATTTCATCTTTAGAAAGTTAAAAGGTGGTCTTTTTAGATGGCAGATTTGAAAGTATGCCAGGAAAGATGATTGGAGAATCTTAGCCACTCCCCCAAAGTTTTTAGAGTTCGTTTTTTAAAAGCTTGTCAAAAAATGGAAGACGGAGCTTCCTTATTCCGAGTTATTAAAAAGCTTTCAGGGAGTGAAGTGTATGCTTGTGAGTTCTGGGTGTGCATACGTTATGCTACTTGCATACTATGGGCGGGAAGGACAGCCTAAGAAGTATGCCGAGTTGCTGCTGCTCTGGGTTCTTGAACAAAACCCCTGCACACTCCCTCTAATCCTCTGCAACTTGTCCGAATATCCCAGCGTTCTCGTATTGTACAGTGTGTGGTGGATGACGACTTCCTGTCTGAACAGCAGAGTTTTCAACCCTTGGGGAGAGCAAAGGAGAGAGACAGAGAACTAATGTTCTCCAGCTGTTATCCGTAAATGCTACCTCTGCATTTTCACTTCAGCTGAAGTGAAATTTTACTGGGATCAGATTTAGGACCTTTTACAGGAAAAACCTCGGGCTCAGCTGATTCCAGGAGACCAATGGGAAGGTTGGGAAGGTTAACAATTTTGGCTGGAGAGGATATATTGTGTTTATTTGCATCAACTCTGCTTAAATGCATGAAGAGTCCTCTAATAGGTGAGGTGGAAATAGAGATACAGAATTAACAAGGATTTCAATCTTTTCTCCCCCATTGACACCTGGTCACTCCTAAATAGGGTTTTAACACAGGTGGGGTATGGTCAATTGTGTCCCTCTGTGTTAATGGAAGGTAACATCTATGCAGATAAGCCTTCTGGAATTTTCTGCCATCTTTCTGTTCTAAACTATAAAATCTCAAAGCAAGTGAAAGCACCCCCTAGACATGGTATCTCTAGAGTCATCGAAGGCAGAAGCAAGACAGTTTTAGTAGATTTAGTGCAATTTAGGCATGGTGTATTTCAAACATTAAGGGGGAAATAACCAATAAAAGCATATCCATAGAATGCATTGAGATCTCTTGACTCTAATACACTGATGTTTGTATATACTTTAAACATTTGCAATTTAAGTATATATTTTGCAGTTGACACCACCATGTAAATGGAAGCCCCCATAAATTTTACAACAGTGTTGAGTTATTACAACATTTAAAACTTCAGCATTTCTTTTGCAACCTACTTTCTCTTGTTCCTGGAAAACACCTTTTTTTCATTAAAACAACAGAAAACCTGTCCCCAGACTTACTTTAGCAGGTGAAATGGGGCAGAGACTCGCTGGTCAGTGTAATCCAGTGGCCTCTGCACCACCGGGATGCTTGTCAGAAGTATAGAATCTTGGGTTCCTCCTGGAACTACTGAATCATTTGTCACATGCACATTGGAGTTCGGGGAAATTCCTGTGCAGAGCAGAACATTGACTTGGGAGTCTGGAAATTTGATTCCAGCTTCAACTTAGCTACTGTGACCTTGCTCAATTCCCCCAAATCTTGGGGTCTTTTTCCTCTAGAGTTAGAAGAGAGATTCCTTTTGGCCTGATTTGTCACAGCCTAATAATTCTTGAGCATGTAGTTATTAATTTTATTTTGCTCTTAAGGGACAAATTTAATAGTGGAGATTAGCCTTTTGGGAGACATGTTATAATAAATAGGGAAGTGAAGACTATGATTGCTTGGAAATCAGTTAATGCCTCTCTTGCTATTATCATTCTGTTTATCTTGCATCTCTGTCTTCCTGTCATTCTGTTTATCCTTCATCTCTGTCTTCCTCACTCATTGTTACCTCCTTTCTTAACTTAATCAATTCTAAACTCCCTGTAAATCAACAATAAGTGTTTCACAAGTATTTTGTGAACATTTAGGTTAATGATTTAATTTGCAACCTTTAGGTAGACTGGGATTTTGCTCCAGGAAAAGCTTTCCTTCTAATTTCTGATCATAAGCTTTCTAGAAACATAAGCCAATGTCTAAATGATGAGTATGTTCTGGTAAATTCTTTAACAGAAGGCTGCTTCCCCCCTGTATCTCTTTCCATAAAGTGTGATTTCAGCCCCTGTGTAGAAGTCCACAGAATGAGCAGTGGTGAGTGGTTCAAAGCCATCAGAACCATTAGCTTTGACTCCCGTACAGCCAAATAAACTAAACTCTGTTCAAGTAGGAAGACAGAAGTTGCCTTCCCTGCCTTTTAAGGTTTCTGAGCCTTACCCTCACTTACTCTTTGGTTTCATTGTTATGTTTACCCTACTCCAGCAGGTCTGAGACAGTAACACTTACACTCTTAAGAGCTCCTTTGCAAAATCCTGTGTGTTATTGAATTGCAGCTGATGAGGTCACAGTGATGGGGTGTAACCCTTGGCAGCCCTGCTGCTGCTCTCTGAAGATCCTTAGGTCCTTTTTCCCAGTCACATATCTGTGACCTCAGGAATGAGGAGAGCCAGTTACCTGAGCACATAAATCATCACAAATCCATCACGACTGTGGGGAATGTATTTTGAAATAATAATAACATTGGCAACTAACATTTATCAAAATCTTGTTATGGCCAAGCATGATCCTAAGTCCTTGACATGCATTGACTCATATAAGCCTCAGGTGGATCCTAGGGGGAAGGCACTCCTAAGGTCCTTATTTTATGGATAAGGAAACACAGCTGCAGAAAGGATGGTCATTTCCCAGGTCCTCCAGCTAGTGTAGGTGGAATTGGAACTCAGGGCCATGTCATTCTAAGCCAGAATCCTTCATTCATTCAACTAATGCATGTTGATTTATATATTTCCTACTATGTGCCAGGAACTCTTCTAGATTCTTGGGATATATCATTAACTAGCTAATGATCCTGTCCTGTCAGTCTTCTCTTCGTGTGTGTGTGTGTGTGTGTGTGTGTGTGTGTGTGTGTGTGTGTAGGGAGGGAAGATGGAATGATTAACATGCGTACACACCCATAGGATAATTCAGTAAATCTTGGGATACATTCAAAGTAGCTAAATTTTCTGAATAAAGAAAATGGTCAGATTAAGATTATTCAAAGTCGGGAAGAAGAAGTGTTGCAATTTTAATTTAGATAGATCACCGGAGTGGGCCTTATTGAAAACTTGGTATGTAGACCAAAACGTAGAAGAAGTGAAGGGCTGACCTTGGAGGATTCGTGGAGCATGTTGACTGTTACTTTGAGCCACTGTGTTATACCGAGGTGAATACTCTATGCTGGAGAGCATAAATCTTCATTGTATGCAAGGGTTGTGTCATCAGTCTTCCATAGTCAGCTGCTATAGGACAAAATCAGTCTGGCCACTGAGCATAACTTTTTGCCTACAGTCTTTGCAAATAGGTTTTATCCAATTATGAGACATTTTGTGACTGTTTTTGGGGTCAAGAGGGGAGACCTAGGACATGCTCTTTTTGCTATGAAAGGTGGCTGTTGCTTGATTTATTTGATATATAAGGGAACCTCCAAAGGATTGTTAATTCTTAGCTAGAAATATGTCTTTGTCTTTTGTTTCCAGTAAATAAATTTATTCTGATAAAAATCAGAAGATAAGGCATATTGATTCCACTGTTCTTTTTTTTTTTTTTTTAAATATATTTTATTGATTTTTCACAGAGAGGAAGAGAGAGGGATAGAGAGTTAGAAACATCGATGAAAGAGAATCATCGATCAGCTGCCTCTTGCACACCCCCTACTGGGAATGTGCCCGCAACCAAAGTACATGCCCTTGCCCGGAATCGAACCCTGGACCTTTCAGTCCGCAGGCCGACGCTCTATCCACTGAGCCAAACCG